ACACACACACACACACACACACCACACATCTCCTGTAAGCATGGAACTTTCTTTTTCAACAGACATCTATTAATATCTCATGGAACTGTTATACCATTAATATACTGGAATCCCCAGAAAATTTTCCCAAGATGTTCCTTCAAATAATTGTGGAGGTCTGGGGTGGGATCTGAGGGCCAGGACTGGAGAGGATTGGCTAAATTGCAGCACTAAATTCAAAACAATACTGATAGGCAACAGTCTCTCTCTTGGAAGAAGAGCCTGCAGGACATAATGAAGACCACAAAACACAGTCTTCCTAATGTTTCTGAGAAACACCACTGTCACCAGCCACAGTCACTAACATGATTGGATTACGTGGGTAAGTGAAATTACAAAGTGTTGCTTTTATATTTCTCCAATATTACTTGTTTTTCAATGTCTGAGCAGGTTCCGTGTTTGCTAGTTGTACTGGGTACTCTTTATTACCTGCCTACCTAGCGTCCATCCCCACCCCCTCTCCCTATCAAAAATCCCAGGTTTTGCTCAGGTATCCTCTTCATCCCACGGACAAAATCTGGTTGTCAGCATATGATCCTTCCTTGTGAATGACTTCTGGTCTGTAGGTCTGCATGTATTCTAATTCAGTCCAAGTAGTTTGAAGGGAAGGACTTAACACCGGGTGGAGGGGACTGTCTATCTTCTGACATGAGGAAATATGAAGCCATCTTATAAGCAGGAAGGGAGTATGTTTTAGGATGAAGCAAACCCTGAGGGTTTTAGGGCAGAGAGAGACAAAACCTGGTCCTTAAAGGCTAGATGAATTACTTAATCATCTACCCCATGGTCTACCATACCTCTGAACTTCCTCATGGTTTAAGCCTGTCTTAACTGGGTTTCCTGTGCTTGTGATCAAAAGTTTCGTAATGTGTGCGGTCACTGGTTTGTTTTGTACTCTCTGGTAGATGAAATTTAGATGTAAAAATTTCAAAACTAAAAAGTAGAAGACTATGACTTGTAGGCTGGGAAAATCGATGGTCTGTGGGATAAAATTTGTTTATATGAAAGCTGTTATGAGTGAGCTGTGTCTTCCTCCTTTATTGTCATGCCTTTCAGTTCCCACAGTGTCCACATCCAGAAAACAAATTCATTGAATTAGCTTTTATTTGCTTTTGCTGTCCTCAAAAATAATTATATGTTTAGCTTCCTGTTAGCAAGAAAATTGTTTGCTGTGGTTGGTGTGGAATGCCAAGACGAGGAAATTAAATCAATGAGAAAATGCTTTCACCGGTTAATGGTAAAAAGCCTAAACTTTTCATAGGATTGACTTTCAGAATACATGAGTAAAAGCTCTTTCTCATTCTGACATTAGTGTGCCTCAGACTTCAGGTCCAATATGGGTGCTGCTTAACCCAATAGGTGTAGGTCCACTAGGTCTTGCTCAGGTTCCTGTTCTAAGAGATAGCTGCTGATATCACAGAATAGACAGGAATCAGAATGAGAGTCCTGGTTTGCTTCTTTCCTTTTTTTTTGTTTTCCCTTTTAAATAATACAGTTAAATGTAGAGCATGGAGCTTGGGATGTAGTGCAGTGGTAGAATGCTTGCTTACCATGCACGAGGCCCTGGGTTCAACCCTAGCACTAGAAAAAAAATAAATAAATAAAGTTAAATTGGTGCTGGTTGACTCATGCTGTCATCCTAGCTACTTGGGAGGCTGAGATCAGGAGGATCCAGGTTCAAGGCCAGCCTGGCAAACAGTCCTCAAGACCCCACCTCCAAAATAACCAGAGAAAAATGGACTAGAGGTGTTGCTCAAGTGGCAGAACATCTGCTTTGCCAACGAGAAGCCCAAAATTTAACCTCCAGTCTCACATACATACACAAAAGTGCAGCATCATAAAAGACATTAAAATCTGCACATAAGCATATCACATGTTCATTTAGTTATTAGTTAACTTATTCAAAAATATGTATGCAGTCCCCAATGTGCCAGACCCTTGGCTAAGAGTAGTATCCTCTCAGTAGACAAGATAGACTATCCCTGATCTCTTAGAACTTACAGCTGATATTAACAAGAGACATAGTCGAAGGCAAATTTTAATATTTCATTAAATAAGTACCACACAAATACTTATTTCATTGCAACTGTGTAAGTCAGGGAAGGGAAGGAAGATACAGGGCAGCATGAAAGAAATTAATGGGGATGGGAGAATTTTTGTTAGATTAGGTTAGGTATTAAGGAAGTCCTCTCTGTGTTACATTTGAGTTCATGACTTCAGGATGAACAGAACTAAGCAGGGGAAAAGAGATCTTAAGGTAGAGAAAACACCATCTGTAGAGGTGAGGAGACTGGGGTGTTCCATAGGAACATGGAAGGATGGTAGTCTTATTTAAATATTTAATTCTCTTGAAAGCTTAAAAGATATTTTTTACTGTATAAAATATATATAATATAAAATCTTCTATTTAACCCATTTGTAAATGAACGATTCAGTGGTATTAATTACATTTACAGTGCTGTGCAACCATCACTATTTCCAAAATGCTTTCATCACCCTAAACAGAAATTCTGAACAATTAAGCAATAATTCCCCATTCTTCTCTTCCCTAGTCCCTGATAATCTCTAATCTACTTTCTGTTTCTATGAATTCTCCTACTCTTTTATGTATTTGTCCTTTTGTATCTAGCTTCTTTCATTTAGCATGATGTTTTCAAGATGTATCCAAGATGTAGCATGTGTCTTTTTTTTTTTGATGGTACTGAGTTTTGAACTCAGGGCTTTGTGCTTGCTAGACAGGTGCTCTACCACTTGAGCCATATCCATATCCCTAGCCCTTAGAATGTGTCAAAACTCTTTCTTTCTTTCTTTCTCTCTCTCTCTCTCCCTCCTTCCTTTCTTCCTTCCTTCCTTCCTCCCTCTTCCTCTCCCTCCTTCTTTTTCTCCCTCCCTCTCTCCTTCCCTCCCTTCCTTCCTTCCTTCTTTCCATCACTGTGTAGCCCAAGCAGGCCTACTCAAGATCTTCCTCCTCAGTCTCCTGAATGTTGGGATTACAGGCATGGGCCACCACACCTGGCTCAAAATTATTTTTCTTTTATCATTCAATTTGTAACATGTGTCAGAACTTCACTCCTTTCGTGGTTGAAAAATGCCCACTGTATGTCCATACATGTTTTGCATATCCCTTCCTGTGCTGATGGACACTTGTGTTGATCCCACCCTTTGGCTCTTGTGAATAATGCTGGTGTGAACATTGAGGTACAAATAAATATCTATTTGCATCCCTATTTAAAATTTTTTTTCCTTTTGGTGGCCCTGGGGTTTGATTCAGGGTCTCACGCTTGCTAGGCAGGTATTCTTACTGCTTGAGTCACTCCACCAATCCCTTTTTAGTGATAGGTTTTTTTCTTGGGAACTATTTGCCCAGCACTGGCTTGGAACCTTGATCCTTCTGATCCCTGCCTTCTGAATAGCTAGGATTACAGACTTGAGTGCCTGGCAACTTCAATTCTTTTTGGCTATCTACCTAGGAATGGAATTGCTGGGTCAGATGGTAATTCCATGTTTAACTTTTTGAGAAATTGCCCATCTGTTGACCACTGCAGCTTGTGTATTTTACATTCCCATCAGCAATGCCCAAGGTTCAAATTTCTCCATATTCACTAACAGTTGTTATTTACATTGTTTTTTGGCTTTTATCAGTGGATATGACATGGTATCTTTATGTATTTGAGTCCGATTCTTCTATGTTCTCAAGAAT